CTCTTGGGAGTCCGCACGGGTAGAAACCACCAACCCGCCTATTTCGGCCGTGAAGCAGTAATGCGTTTCGGTTCGAAGGGTGGGGTAGCCGTTGTAACTATACTGAGATTATATCTCAAGATGGGTGGCGCATTTGCGTTGTAGATGTCTATGGGCTCCAGTAACCACTTAGCATCAGGTGGGCTGTGAGCTCGTCCATCCATCTAAGCAATAAAAAAAAAGTACATAGCTTGACCTACCTAAAAGCACCGCTAGTGGACATTTCAATGAGCTTTACAGTAACATTCTGGATTCAGCTTACGCGGCATCACTGGAGACCTTCGATCAATAATACTACTATTGTAAGTACTATTATTGATCGAAGCTGGAGACACATAGTCTGTAATATAGATCGAAATTTTCGGTGAACGCCGCCTCTCGATACAAAATGGGTCACGTTTTAATATTTAATATTTTTATGGCAACACCCATGAGACACTAAAATCGTATGAATACTCGGGTAACGAATCAAAGAGATTCTTGCCCGAGACTTTTCATTTATAGCACTGAGTTACACAAATTTTACGATTTTCGCTTGAGATTTTCAGTGTTGACATTTATAAATTTGTTAGCATCAATGGAAATATCAGTACATGAAAATCACAAAGGCAGAATCTTTCATCAGCCATGCTCGACCGACTAACCACCTGAATACTGATTGATGTCTAGAACGTGTTTGTTCCCTAAGATGGGTGGACGATCTCACGGCCCACCTAATGTGAAGTGGTCACCGGAATCCGTAGACATTAGTAACGCATATACCACGCAAATACCCACCTGAAGACGTGATCAAATTTTCCGTTTTCACAGTACAACGGCTGCCCCACCCTTCAAACCGAAACGAATTACCACTTCACGGCAGAAATAGGCAGAGTGATGGTACCTACCCGTGCGGACTCACAAGACACCCTATGACCAATTTTTTTTTTTTTGTTATTGCCTTTGTAGGCAGACGAGCGTACGGCCCACCTGATGGTAAGTGGTTACCGTCGCCCATGGACTTCAGCAATGCCAGGAGCAGAGCCAAGCCGCTGCCTACTGCTTAATACTCTCCACAAGCCTCGTTTGAAGAAGGACATGTCATAGCGTTCGGGAAACACCGTGGAGGGGAGCTCATTCCATAGCCGGATGGTACGTGGCAANGTCAATCTTTTCAACAGTGTATAATCTATGTTCCGGGCGCTTCCGTTTTGAGTGTGAATAGCGTGCGCCCGCGTCTAAATGTAATTATTGTTTAAAATTGAAAATTGTTTGTGATAAAGGAAGATTAAAATTCGAAATTCGATATTGGTGACTAACCCATAGTTTTAAATACCCCTGAGATCTACCCCTCACTATAAGTACTTATTAGGGACCGATGACAATTCAATATTTTAAACAGTTAGACCCGTTATTTACTTTCGGCTGCCGAAACAACAAATTCATTTGAGCACCTTCTTTTTTTCCCTTAGTTAATTATTGTAAACTGTTGTATCCAATTTAAAAAAATAAAAAAAATTATTGTATAAATTTGTTTTTAAGTTTTTTTTTTTATATTATTTATTTTAAAAAAATTTGAATAATATGGTGGTTTCTAGCAGTAGAGATGGTCTCTGCACCGGTGGCGAAATATTGCCGACTTAGGCATTCAACAGAGAATAGGCAGCAGCGTTTTCTGGGTGTTATATCGCTCTACTGCCGCTGTCAAGCGTCATTAACTGGTAGTAAGGTGATTTGTAAGCGCGCATGTGTAGGTACCCTCATTCTGTCCATCTCTGCCACGAAGCACTCCGATCTGAAGAGTGGGATAGCTGCGATACAATATATACAGGACTACATATATACAGGACTCGACGTCATATCTCAAAGTGGAACATGAGTATGCTCATCTAAAGCAAAAAAGAACAGCGATCATGAAAAACACATCGATGTTAATTGAATGCATTATTAATTTAATTTACGTAGATATATATAACAATGATACCGTCACGTTGGTAACGAAAATTGTACCATTATATACGATTCTACGCAATGACCGACTTAGACAAAAAGTATAACTTATCGATTGACCGATAAAAGGTACCATAGAGACACACATTTTAGGCAAACGAGTCTGAGCAGCACGCACAAATGTCAAGTAATGTATCAGGACACGCGATACCGAATCGGCTTCCTGTTTGCGAGTGAGCACGTTGGAACTCACCGGTCGTAATTTTCAAGGACTTAACGGAAACCATAACTCCAAAGTTTTGATGGCACGAAATTTCTGCACGCCCCCGAAAAAAAAAAGCCCATGTGTCATTAGGGTTTGATTAAATAGAATGGATTCAATAAAAAATAAAAACTATCTACAAATTGTGTCATTTTTCGCTGTTCCTACCTAGTAATAAAAATAATGAATGAATAAATGAAGAATGAAAATTCTTTATTGCACAAAATAGTGTACAAACTTAACGCCATACAGGCATTCTCTTCCAGTTAACCCTCGTTGATGAAGTGAAAGATTCAAGAAGTGCGTAGCTGTGATGAAGTTAATACATGGCAATAATTTAAAGAATTACAGTAGACATGAGTAAAATGCTATAAAAATAATATGCTATACCTTAATGAAAGTAAAATTATGTATTTCAAATGAAATATTAATGCCTATATTATTTTCGTACATATTTCTTTTAATTATTACGGTTATAAGGAATCGAAGAGGAAAACTTAATAAAAATTTGTGGTCTTTTGAAATTACTATCTAAACAATATTGCGTAAATAGCTTCACATTCTGGTTATTGAGTTGGTTTCCGAGGTAAATTTAAAACTTCGACAAACTTCGTTGTTTAATGTTAAATATTTACACATTTTAATGCGGATTTCTACCTCAAGACGTGTATGACGTAGGTATTAAAAATTATTAAAATTAGATCACCATAACATAATTAGAAGCATACTGATCGGATTTTGTAAAAATGATTGGCTTGTAAATTTTTTGTCAAATTCTTCGTTCATATTATCAACAAATATCAACTTACTTCATGAGTTTGGTTTTAGTATCTTCGAAGACAGACTTGTGTGGCTACTGAAGCTTACCGATTTGTGCAGTAAGATTATTTTTTTTAAACTCCTTTTGAACACTAAGTAGGAGAGTTCATATTTTCGTAGTTTATGATTGATAAATAATTAACAACGTGTTAATTTTGTTACAGGTACTTCCCGATGGATTCTTAGTTCTCGTTTAAAATGGTTTGGCTCATCTTCGTCGTTTTACAAATGTGGCTATTTAATTAGTTATTTTTACCATCTTTATACATTTAATAGATACTAATACTCAGCTAATACTCATCTATTATAACATAAACAACGCTTATTGAAAAATATTCAAATTGAAAAAAAATATTAGCACACATCACACGTCAAAATAGATTAGTTTTATTTTTGATTCGTATTAACTAATCCGGATTTCAGATCTAGATAAATTTAAAAGTAAATTGAAAACGCGTGTGGCTCTGATAAAAATTATCATTATAATAGATAAAATCGTGTCCTAAATTTTTTTATTATTTAACATTAATACAGTTTACGTATCTCATGTTTAATTTATAAATAGAGATAACACGAATGACACTAATCCTTTTCAGTGCATCGTAATGCAGTTCTGAATATTGTATAATAAATATACGTAATTTTCGACAGGCTATATATAACCTATTCTATAAGCCTATGATAATATTATTTATTTAAGATTCTCCGTCGAAACTCCTAGAATAATAAAATCCACCTAAATCTCACTGTAAAATAAATATGCAATTACTTTATAATCTAAACATTATAAACATATATAACATTAATTAGTTACGTAACTAAGTTTTAGTATTTCTTTAAAAGTTCCATTTGCATGCAATTGCGGGTGAGGAAGCTTACGGCCTATCTGATGTTAATTATGTAGTTACCGAATCCCGTACACGTCACAACGTGAATACCGCCACCTACAATGAGACATGAGGTCTAAGCCTCAATTGTTTTGCTTAACAGCTGTTCCATCCTTCAAAGTGGAGCGCATTACTCATTAATAGCAAAAATAGGCAAAATCTACAAACATCTTTATACATCTTTTTTATTTAGGAATATATTTTAAATGTAAATTTTCATTGGAATTAAAAAAAATACATTTTCCAAATTTCCATATAATATAGTCCGTATATATTATCTCATAGGGTGTTCCGTTCTTAGGGTGCGCGCGCACGTTTTTCAGAGCGCAGGACGATTGAACTTTAAGAACCTAAGAAACTTTAGATATGGGCAATTTTTTTATTTAATTTTACTTAAGTAAACATTTAACCCCTTGGGTGTTAAGCAATTACTAAACTCACACTGAATAGACATTGGCACTGAATTTCGTTCTTCACTTGAGGTGTGCGTTGAAAGTCTTAATTTATTTGAGGTAACTTCGAACCGTGACATCTTATTCGCTTTAACAATTATAAACTTATTAATTTGGCTAAATTAAATTGGCTAATTTGATTCTATTGTACGAAATTATTCCTTAAATGTATAATCGACGCATAGATACGCGTTAGTTTATTGAACACATACTAATTACTCAGTAATGTATTATAATACTACATTATGATCCAATCACGGCATTAACTTACATGACTACAAGTACCCCGGCCGAAATACCGGTTAAGCCAGAAAGGTTCTAAAATTATTAAATTAATTATGTACAATTGATTCTCGGAACTACTGAGTTATTCACTACACGGAATCATACCGTCATCGAATTCAACAAATGATTAGGAAGGATGATCAAATTATGCTGATTTTTTCGCTTTTTAACAAACATTGTGTATCTTTAATATTCAACTTGTTTTTTATCATATAAGTTTTATTTTCATAAAAATATTAGAAAAACAAAAAAACATTGACGTATCTAAAAAATTCCGAGATCTTTACGGAGTCGGCTTGCCGATAGAGGCCGTACGTATCACGGCACTTCAGGTTAAACTGGCGTCCATTGCGGGACGCGCCCCCTTTTCAGAGTTTTTCAATATCAATACCCAGAGTTTGAATAATTAAGAGCAGTTCTTTCGTCACTTTTGAAGCTAGGTAAGTCATGTGAAATACACATAGCACTATAGACGCTTTGTATAATTGCATCTCGAACATTCTGCTTCATTCGATCACGTCGGTGTGTCAGTTGCTGGACATTATGTTGTAGATATCGATCCTGTCCACACCAATTATTGCACATGTACCTACTTACATGGACTCTGTAAATAGCGGAGGTTGTTTGTTAGCACACCACCCTGTGCGTGTTTAAGTAAAAGGTACTGCGTAAAATGGACACGCGCGATCCTTTCGCATCGTACAATACAATTTCGTTTTAGATATTATGTTAACATACAGAATTTCTTTTCAATGATAGATATATCATCATTATGGACGATTGATCCAATCGATCTTTATCGTTACGTCATTTTAGATTTATTTACTTTTAATCGAAAAGAACGTCACAGATACTCATTCAATTATTTGTTGTCTGTATCAATTAGAATGATACAAATAATCACAAACATAATCATGAATACGGATGTAATTTAATTTTGAAGAACGTAATTTTTTCAACATGAAGCTTATGATTTCGATTTGGCCCCGTAAATGAATGATTTGAACAATTATTTCCTATCACCCTTACTTAGATTTTGTTTTGATTTTCGTTTTTGTGAGCAACTAATCAAACTTTTGGGATTTATGGAAGTATCGCAAAATAAAATTCAAATTCTTAGCTTGTAATTTGTAGTTTTCGTTCGATCAAATTTTATACACCGGAAAAGAAATATATCTACCCGTTTTCAATTAATCTGTAAATAATAATACGTAACGAGAAACAGAAACTATACTTAACTTTGGAGATGACTCAGTCAGAGTCGTGGACGAAAGACATTTGATCTTGATACAAACACTGTTTATTGGCACCCACAACAAATTACTCTTTTGGTCAGTTTAACTCCATATTACGTACATTACGTAGGTATTTGTTTGAAGGTGAACTGCGCATTCGTGTTTTAAGATATCGTGGCTTTTAATAAAGTATTAAATGTTTACATTATTTAATTTTTCTGCTTCTTACAAAAGCATGTAGGTACTTAATAGAAACGTTTTAAAACTATATAAATAAAAACCGTGTGAAATATTATTATGATATTCAAAGCGGGTATTAAAATCGGTATCCAAAAGAAGATTGAAACTTGTCCCATTTTAGTTCTTTTGAAGAATATTTTATTATGTAACTATACTTGAGACCTTAGAACTTATATCTCAAGTTGGGTGGCGCATTTACGTTCTGGATGTCTATGGGCTCCAGTCCAGGTGGGCTGTAAGCTCGTCCACCCATACAAGCAATAAAAAAAAGAACAATCTTGAAACATTTGGAACATAATTGTGATGAAATATTCACACATCTTTGGCGATGGGTTTTCAAAAACTACCTTCATAGTTGTAGCTCTAGAATGAGTACAAATGGAAGATTTCCGTGTTCTTTATAATTTAAGTCTCCAGTTCCATTAGAAAATAATTATTTAGAAGTTACTTAGAAGTAATTATGACCTCAACATAAGATAAAATAGATAATTTGGAACGTCAAAAAAAAGCCACAAAAAATGTTATGTTGCTTCTTCATAAGTTATATCTCAGAAAACCACTATCATCAAAACAACCGGATCTATGAAGTCGTTCATATTTTAAAAAATAACTTATTTACAATAGTTGGGAATAAAATTTATTGTAACTATTGTTTCCCTAAAAATTTGAATGAAACAACGTGAGTAGTGAATCCATTTTAAAATCGAGTAATATAAATTTAAATTGTATCTTATCTACTTATCACAATTAAAGATAATCAGGACAGCTATTTTATCTTTCACTTTTACCTACGAAACGGTATCATAGTCCAAGAGACTTCTTAAAAAATATCTAATGTCCTATCTATTCTAGTGTAACTAAGCTATTTAAGTTCGGGGTAGGTAAATAATTTTAATGAACCTAGAGGTAATGAGTCTTTTTTTGTTATTTCGTCGTTCGTTTGTGTTTTAGTTAAAACATTTCATCGTAAATAAATTAATTTTAATACATTGGATTTAATTGGGCCTTCTTTTAAAGTATATCTATTATCTTTTAAAGTATTCTATCTATTCTAGTGTAACTAAACTATTTAAATTCGGGGTAAATAATTTTAATGAACCTAGCGGTAATGAGTCTTTTTTTGTTATTTCGTCGTTCGTTTGTGTTTTAGTTAAAACATTGAATCATAATTAAATTAATTTTAATACATTGGATTTTAATAGGGCGTTCTTTTAAAATATATTTTCGTTTGATCACCGGCTTTATTCTAAAATTGTTTATGACCACAACGTGGGTGACCATTTCATTCTAAAATTAAACGTACCACATTTTATTGGAACGCACGAAAAAAAAAATTAAACAAAGCCCTTCAGTAACGGTATTGAAAGTCCGTTTTGAATGTCAAGAAATATTTGAGTTCGGAGAAATTCAAGCGATTACGATGATGTACTTTTATTTCTACACTCTTTGTACAAATTCATTTAAATTACAATTGGGGAAATACACGTCATTGACCTTGCGCTGTCACACCGATGAAACTCCGTATACCTACACTCATTTTGTGAATCTTCAAATTAAAACGAACAGGTGTTTTACAATTACGTTAGTCATCAACGTCTTTCGTGACTCAGCGGTGAATACCGAACGAAAACGTAAATACTCACCCCTTTCTTTGTAATTTTATTCAAGATATCAACTTGAATACAATTTGTATTTGTTTAATAAAAAAAATGTTATTGTACATTTTTAATAATTTAAACTTTTAAACTGGGAACAAAACACGCACGGTCATGCGGCCCTGAATTAGGATTTCCTGTGTTAAGGGAACCGGAGATTGATATACATACTTATATACGTTTAATTACGTATGTACATATATATTAATATATGTACTGATATATGATATATGACATCCAGACAAAGAGCAAACAAACCTATTCATCACATAAATGTTTGTCCGATCTGGGGATAGACCTCATGACCCTCGGCGCACTGCTTCGACGAGTCAGTATAACGTTATATTATAATTAATTAATTAATAATTGTAACAATCATAATTCTGAAAAACTATTTTTGGACGCCTGACGAAAGCCTAATCTGAAATTTTGAGTCAGCACTATTCACCTACAAAATAACCCACATTAGTATGTAATATAAACTCATTAAAATGACTTGCCTTTTATTACACTACAAATTTATTCGTAAATCAAAGGTCCATCCTACTAATTGAAGTATAATGCCGATAATAGAACCAGTTAATGTTTAAACCGTTATATTAAAACAAACAAACATGTTTATTATTATCTCATTTATTTTGATTCTTTAAAAATATATTTTAGACCTAACCCACAAACATACTTTAGGCATCATCGAGAAAAATATAAAAAATTTAGTTAAAAGTAGATTTGCTCTCAATGAAAACTAGGCAACATAACATGACGTGTTTGTATTCGTTAAGAAAAGAAAAGTATGGCAATTAAGGTCGCAATATTATTTGGAAGAGAAAGACCCGTGGGATCATGCCTTCGTTAAGACTTCTAATTTGTTAATACTATTTAGTTTTACTTATAATTAGGCAAAAGCTTCTGTGAGGTTTATTGGGAGAAGACAGAGGAGGGAGGCGGGTGCGCTCTCCTCCTTAAACCTCGAGGGAGCGGTCAATAAAACATTACTTATAATTACATGTTTACTTGCCTCAGCGACCGCGGTGGATCGCTGCACGTTGACCACTGACTGACTAACGTATGCTGCTCATTACTATATGCACAATAACTGCATAGTAAGCTAAGCGGGGCGGAGTATCATTCCCCTACACTACCATAAGATTGACAATGAAATATGTATTTGTTCTGTCAAAAAAAATCGATTCGTTCTTTCACGTAGGGGACTTAATGGAAAAAGTACGTCACATCCGAATAAATGAATAGAATCGTATCGTGGAACGGAAGGCCTTTGTCTATCGCTTGACGAGATTGGCATTGTGAAGTAATTGTAGTCAGCATTACTAAAATGTGTTAATTAATCTAAAACTATTCCTTTATTTTCCTGTATTTTCTTGATTATGTCCGCATAGGTACAGGTATGTTAAATTATTTTCATTTTTTATCAAATTAATCTAATATAATAAATTAGGATTTAATGTTTTTATCGTTATAATGAACCTTTAAATTATATTCGTGTTAAAGTCATTGACCCATATTTATTTTTGTAATAAATTGAGTTACATTACATACTTTCTTCTAATTGTACGACGATGTACGTCGCATATTTGTTTGCGTGCTAATGTTATTTGAATGTCGTTGTCACGGAAACCGAAATTATGACTTATTCCAATTTTGTTATTCTTATTTTTGGAGGCGAAAATAACGATATATTTTGGATGGAACTGAATTGAAATTAAATATATATATGTTTTTTGTATAATATATTTTTTGCGAAGTAAAACACGATATTTACATCGGAAGAACTGTTTCAGTCACAAACATTAAATACAACAGAGATCTATTTAGACAAGATGAAAAAGTTCTTACTATCATTTAAAAAAAATAGATATGTACATACATAATACTACATTAACAATAAACAATACAGCTGCTCCAATTACAGACAATAACACACTGTATATCTAATCACATATTCTCTTATCGATTACTATCGTCATCGATAAGTTCACATTACGATAGTTACAGCAATCTTTAATAAAACTTATCAACCACAATTTACCGAAAACTGACGCAAATCGAGTGACGCCGAAGTTTTCTCTCGATTCGTCTTCGACGATACACGTACATAGTTATGTATACATCGTGGCATATTTTTGTACCACTCCAAAAAGCCCGTGTTCTGACAAAATGGCATGCTGCCATTTATAACAATACTTTTATTCTAACGTCTCGAATAGAAAAATACCGTATTCCTTACGGAAAGAACTCGTGGTGTTGAACTTTCGATTGTGGAGGCGGTGTGGGAGGGATGTCCAGCGGAGG